TGTGTAACTGATATTGAACTGTACAGAATTTCATCAAATAATACATGGTCATACTATAATCATACGGTGCCATTATTTTACAGTAGTAATTCTTAAGACATCAGTCAACCTCACCCACAGTAGCATACAGAGAACCCACTCCAATCAGTTCAAAGATAACTCTTAATTTAGGAAATGAATCTACTATATATGTCTGGTTGCACAACAATTGAAATGTTTCAATTGAATTTTATTATACATAACCCAGTTGTGCTGTCTCTTTGAAAACTTTGTGACTTTTTCCTCATTTCAAAGATGACTTATGAAATGGAATGAATTAATATCTAAATTCTCAAGGTGGGATGATCTAAGTATTAAAACAGAAAAGTAGAGATTCACAATAGAGAAGATAATCATTTCTGAAAGCATAAAAACTTGTGCAGCCAAAAACTCCAAAAAAGTCAAAAGGTGAATTATGAATTACTAAATATACTTGAAAATCCTTGTAACATATACAAGGTTAGTAATTCTAATATTGACAATAGACAAGAATTTTAAAGAAATGATTCAGCAAAAGGCTCAGTCTACTTATCTATAACAAATGTATCAATAAAACAATGCAAGAGTCCAAGAAATATATTAAAAGGAATTCAACCTCATTTATAGTGTGATAAATGAACACTAAGATAATTATAAAATCCATAGTTTGGCAAAAGTCAACAATACAAACAGTGTTGTTGAGAATACAAGAAAATGGTGCATTTCATGCATTGGGAAAGACACATGAATTGGCAGTGTATCTGAGAATGAAAAGGTCCCATCATATATAATCACATAAGACTGAAACCCCATTCCTGAGAGACCAGTATGCAGAATGAAAGCATCAGTACTTAGAGAAAATTTTACAGTATTGCCTACAGTGTTAAAAAAGAGAAAAAATAAACAAAAATAAATAGAATTTACCTGGTCAACATATTTTCACTCTTTAAAAATTTAGCTGGGTGTGGTGGTGCATGCTTGAAAACTCAGCACTTAGGAGGCTGAGTCAAGAGGTTTACAGCAAGTTTGGGGCCAGTTTGGGCTATGTAGTGAGTTCAAGGCCAACCTGAACTAAATAGACCCTGTCTCAAAAAAAACAAAGTAAATGAACGAACAAATGAATTAATAAGAATTTCACCTCTATTCATGTATTTACTGCTTAATTATCACCATTACAAATACAAATTTCTATTTCATAAATTCATAGAGAGGACTTAAGATTTTTTATCATTGGTTCACTCTTTTTAAAATAAACTATTACATCGTGAAAGCTCAGTGTTGGTTTATGATCATGATGCAAAACACCAGCCAGAAAATCATTCTGATTATTCTTTAAAAAATCTTGGCAGCACACCAAGATAAAATTTTGCTCTGAGATCTGATAATTTATTTTCTGTAATTTATTAATCTAAATTTCTGTGGAAAATTTGTTGCAACATTGTGCTGTTTAATTAATTGGTATTCCTTTTTCTAAACTTGACCTTCCACAGTCTCATTTCCTTCTTAGCCAGAGTATGATGGACCCACACAGTGGAAGTGGGTTTCCTCCAAAATTCATAGTGAAGCCTTAACCTTCAATGTGATTGTATTTAGGGATACGGCCTTGTTGCAGTCAGGGTTTGCAAGGAACCAGATAATACACAGTAGATAATTTATAAGGTTATCCTATAATATTCACCTGAAAATTAAATGCAAAAGAGTGCAAGAGACCTAGAGAATCCTACTAAAGGTCTGGATCCCATGGCAATGTCCTGCACAAGTCCAGCTACAGACCTAGAAACCCATGGCAATGTCCTTCCCGAGTCAATCTGGAGGCCTAGAGTTCAAGACAATGTCTCATGCAAGTCTGTATTAAGGATCTGCTCTGGGAAGGCCCAAACATCAGTGGTTGAAGCTAGAAAGTCTGCATCAATGGAATGAAGGATCTGTGCCAGGAGGTTGTGGGATCTGCACTGGAGCTAGGAAGCGACACTCAAGGTAAGGGCCAGGGCTCCCCTGAAGAATACCACAGCCATCCTCAATGACAGCGAGAACAGCCAAATTCATACTTGGAAAACCAGTGTGACAAGGTTCTCCAAGAGAATCAACAGTACCACCTCTTCTGCTCCAGTTATTTCACATTGCTACCAGTAATTCTCAGGTGGGGCCTCACACCCAGCATCACGCTGATTTGGTTCAGCTGGGTGTTACAAGTAGCCCATTAGTTAATTCACTACAGGCCCACTGGTCACTTTTGTCATTGTTGAGACAAAATACCTGACACCCATAACTTAAAGGATAGGTTTATCCGGTCCATGGTTTCCAGGCGTCAGTCCATGTATGGCTGGCTTCAAGGCTGGAGAACAAAAGCTGCTCAACCAGTGGCAGCCAGAAAGCAGGGAGAAGAAAAGAGCTGCACAGAAGAACATGCCCTTCCAGGTGGTGTCCCTAGTGACCCATTTCTTCTGACCAGTCTCCCTTCTAAGCACAGGAAACTTTTAGGGGACATTTTAGATCTAAGCCATAATAGGATGTTTATAGAAGTAATAAGGGTTAAATGAAGTCTAACCTCTCTTGTAAAGATAAGAGACCTGATCTAGCAGAATTAGTGTCCCTACAACAAGACAAACCAGATCACATGCTTCCTCTCTGCTGTGTGAGGTTATAGGGGTGGCTACCTGTAAGTCAGGAAGATAGATCTCACCAGATCTAACCATGCTGTAAACCTCGCCTTGGACTTGCAACCTCGTGAGTCATCAGAAATTTTCTGTTGTTTAAAAGGACCTAATATGTGGTATTTTATTATGGCAGTCTGGATTTATCCACAGGAAACTCTTCTTAAAAACTTTACATTGTGGCATCTCTGAGGAGAACCCTCCCAAAGCTGCCCACTCTGAGTAACTGCCTGAGTCCTAACAATCCTAGAAGCTGCCTCTAGGCACCTGTAGGTTTGGGATGCTCTCTTTTCTAGTTTCAATTTCTAGTATTTTCTCCATCTGTTATTTTCTGCCTGACTGCTGAACTCACCAGCCATGTTCCCATTTCCGGGTCTCTGCAATAGGACTCTTTGTCTGTTCTCCATATTGTCAGGGTTAACTTCTCACTTCCTTTTGGTCTGTGTTCCAGTGGTACCTTTGCAATGGCATGGCATTGAGCAAACACTTGAAACTGCAAACAACTCCCCCACTATTGATTGATCTTTACTTCCCTTTGCTCTATTCCTTTTCCATCGCATTTATCCCCTTGAAACAAAGCATGTATGTTTTATGTCTTATCTCTTTGTTAAGAGCATGGGCTTTTATCTGATTGGTTCTCTAGGTATCCTGAGAACTTAAATCAGTACTGACACTCAAAAAATATGCACTAAATAAAATTAGCTGACAGGCTAGAAACCTAGCTTCTAGTGGCAATTCTGCCTCTACCTTACTGTTTAACTTTGGCCTTGTTTTATTATCTTCTGTGTACTATAAAAACTTTGACTCATACTAGACAGAAAGCTTTCTCCTTTCAATAGTTTTGACTTGTCTTTTTCATCTGCATTCTTTTCTGTCCCTTGTCCTTCTACCTTCTCTCTGGCCCTCACTAAATACACTCTTTTCTTTCCTAGTGTCTTTCCCTGGTTCATAATTTTGATAGTATATATATGATCAATTTTAATTATTTTGATCCATTCACAAAAAAGGATAAGGCACTTTTTGACAGAACTATGTCCTTTAGTGTTACATAGTACCTGGACCTCTGGCTTCTAATCCTAAAATCTATGCTGAAATAATACATGAATTTATAAAAAATATTGAGCTAGAGTTTGTCATACATTCTCTAAATGCATATTTATTATTTCTTTCTATAAAAATGTCATTCAATTTAGAGATCTTGGGCACCTCTTTTTGAATGCTGAATTAGTGTTTAAAGGTCTCAACTCTTCTGTGTCCTCCTTTTATTATTCATCTCAAAAGAATATTGGAGATTCTGCTAGTGCCTTCTCATATAATGTATTATTAATGAAACAAATACATTTTCTGATTAGTTTCGAAGACCTGTATTTTTACAATTTGTGTCATGTTTTCTAATTTAAAGGTATACTTTCCTTTTAGCAACAAAATGTTTGGTTTTCAGTGTCCTCAAGAATTACTTCAATAAGTGAAAATCAACATTATCTGGTTTCTGATTATACTGAAGTGAATCAATTAATTCGAGATCCTAAAATAAGCTTAGATTTTGAGTGATTTTGCTTGTTTGGAGATATTTACTAAACATTATGAACAACTATTGATTGGTGAAATTTGAAAAATAAAGCAATTTCTCTTCCCATTTACAAATTATTAGAAATCAATTCATGTTGAAATAATAACTTTAATGCAAAGCCAAACTTAGAAACAATTCTTCAATGGCTTTTAAATTCACTTTTGGCTCACATATATCCAATCCCATACATATATTGCCCTCTTTTTAAATAAACCACATTATTCAAATTACTTATCATTTTAATATGTATGGAATTGCTTTCCCCAAAGTTCAGGGGTGGTCATATACGTGTAATGCTTGGATAATTTAAAAATTAAAATGTATATAAAATATGCATTGTCTTTTCTCAACTACGAAAGTGAATTTCTACTCCTAAAACTAAATTAGAAAAAAAAAGGCGTGAAATGCACAAATGAAAGCAGGAAATGCAGCCAAATGCTAGACTGAAGTTTCTGTACAGAACATTCCTAAATACAAGGCAGGAAGGTTGTCCAATCATACAAGTAACATAGGTGGCAGCATCTCCGTTTTAAAGGTTTTACTACTCCACACCGACCCGCGGGAAACCCAGACACCCACAAGTTCTTACTTTTATGTGTATACTCTAAACAGTGACAAACTTTGAGGAAGCGATTTGATTAGCTACACAATGAACCACGCAAAGTACTCCAAACCCACTAAGAATCAGCTTCCTCCCGCCTGGCTTTCCGCTTTCCGATTGGTTCCTACGGCAAGCGTACAGGGACAATTTCTGAATTTGACCTCCGGTTCCGCAACCGCGGATGAAGATGGCGGCGGCCAGGTGTTGGAAGCTGGTGTCCCGCGGCCGGGGACTGTCGTTACATACCGCTGCTGAGGCCGCCTCCACGGCTACGGAATCAACCAGCACAGATGTCGCGACCACCCCAGTAGCGCGGTACCCGCCGATTGTGGCTTCCTTGACAGCCAAAAGCAAAGCAGCGCGGTTGCGGCGGGTGGAGCGCTGGCAGGCGACGGTGCATGCGGCTCAGTCCGTGGACGAGAAGCTGCGCATCCTCACCAAGATGCAGTTTATGAAGTACATGGTTTACCCGCAGACTTTCGCTCTGAACGCGGACCGCTGGTACCAGGGCTTCACCAAGACCGTGTATCTGTCGGGTCTCCCTTCGCCGCCCGTGGAGCCCGAGGCCCCGCTGGACTTAGGGGCTCTGCGGGACGCGGCCTGTGACAGCCTCCTGCAGGAGCATTTCTACCTGCGCCGCAGACGGCGTGCTCCCTTGCGCGAGGAGCCGGAGACTGTAGTCTCGCCTTTTCTGGACCAGCTGGTGGTGGCCCTCATGGGCCTGCTCAGCCCACAGAACCCCGTCCTGGCTTCAGCCTCTGTCGGTGAGCTTTGGGGCTCCAGCCTGGCGCAGAAGTCGGGATAGCCCCGTGCTCTTCCCTACTCTGTCCTTTTTCTACAGCTGGGCTGGGTCTAGGCTTACTGCTTTCTCAGAGTTAGTTTTGAGGGTACTAGGTTTGGATGACTTTTAAGACTAGTTTAGACTAGTAGCTAAAGCTCTTCAGGATTCATGATCTTCTTTCTACTTTGTGAATGCACAGCCAAATGGAATACTAGTGATTGAAAAAAGAGATTCTTAAAAATGTGGAGCAGACCTGAGCTGCCTTTGACATTTCCACCAAAAGCTGTTCTATCTTATGTAAATTCACTAAACTCTTTTACTGTAGTTCCCCCCCCTTTGTTTTCTGGATGAGAATTACGGTAATAGTGCCACATTTTAGAATGGCGAAGATTAAGTTAGGTATTCACTAAAATACCTAACATTTATTCATTATTTATTATGTGTCAGGCCCTGTTCCAGATTTTCTGTGTGCCACCTAAATACAAACAGCTACAGTAGGTAGCACAAGGGAGGTGCACAGACGTTTAATGTGTCTAGTGTAAGACCTTATGCTTGGTAGGTTTGGGTGGTCAAGATTGTATTCAGTAAGCTACAGTTCTTATCTCACTGTTCAGTGGAAACATGAACAATAATGCCTTTATAAATATTTTAAATATGTGTTCCTCATACATCATTTTATGTGTACCATCTACTAGATTCCTTGTTTTTTTTTGTTTTGTTTGTTTTTGTTTTTTTGTGTTTTTTTTGGTACCGGGGATCTAACTTACAACTTCACCCTTGCCAGGTAAGTGCTTATGCCATTGAGCTAAATCCCCAGCTGCAGTGGATGTCTTAATACTTAGTGAATTAATGTTACTGATGCGCTTGCAGTGTGCATTCTCTTCCTCAGTTGGGGACAAAGTGGGTTGAGGTAAGCCTGGGGAACTAATGATTATTGACCTAAAAACATGCTTCTCCAAGACTCAGGTTCCTCATATAAAATGGGATGGTGCAACTGTGCATACCTTTTAGAGTTATTGTGAAGATTGAAATAGCACTTCTAAGTCTACTCTGACTTCTGTTAAACTATTTTGTTTCTGGTGAGTGGTATTCCTGTTAGTTCATTGTCTTTGTCTTTGTGTTTTTTTTTTTTTTGTTTGTTTGTTTTTTGTACCAGGAATTGAACTCACTGTCTTGCACTTGCCAAGCAGGCACTTATGCCATTGAGCTATATCCTCTGCTTTATGTCTATCACTGACTGAGTAACCTTGCTTACAGTACTTAATGGTGGTACAAGTCGATAATAAATGTTTTGAGTATTCTATGCAACTCAAAATTATATTTTGGTACATATTTCAGACTGTTTCTTATATAAAAGAGGAAATATCTATTTTTGAGTTAGAACTATCTTTATTACAGTTAGTGTTCTAATAACTAAGTTTATCTGAATGATCAGATGAAGAATTTTGAATTTTTTGATAGATTTTAAGCGTCCAGTTCATTTTTACTGGTTACGAGGTGAAGAAATTATTCCTGGTGGTCATAGAAGTGGCCGAATTGATGCTGTGCGATACCAAATAGATGATAAACCAAACAACCAGATTCGAATACCCAAGCAACTCCCAGAGGTAAGGGTTTATTGCATACAAATGTATATTGACATCTGATATAGGAAATATCTTAGATCAGGTAATTGGGCTTGTAACATAAATTGTTTTGGTGGGTCTTCGAAGTTTCTTATTTCTTTTAAAGACTCTCTATTGAAAATATTGTTCTGCTTTTTAAACTGGTATGGTATATTCTGTAGAGGTCACATAATCATTTTAGTGAGGTCTTCAAGATCACAGAGATCTTTTTGTTTCTTTTAATTTCACTATGCTAATATTAGTTGATGTTGTAACTTGTGATATACTAGCTAGTCATGAATCAGAGGATCTTCATAGTTATAAACCTGGTGGTTTTATATAATTGCAGTTTTTTTGAAGGCAAAATGTAGGTTTTGTGTATTGTCTGTGTTTTCATATCAGGGATTGTAACTTTTTCTGTAAAGGTCTAGATGGTAAATATTTTAGGGTTTAGATCCTAAGTCGCTGTTGTAATAATCTAGCTGCTGGTCTTACAGAATATATGCTGCCAAATACAATATATAAGGGATTGTGTATGGCTGTGTTTCAGTGCCACTCTTTTTGTAAAACCATGTGACTTACTGGTTTGGACTCATCATGAAATGGTAGTACAAATTGAGCTTCTGTGTAACCCCACAGTATGAAATTGGAAATGCTCCAAAATCCAAACAGGTGGCCAGTTCAAATTTTTAGATTAGAAATATGCTATCTGTAAAACATCTATGCACATATTCGAAAATTGGGAAAACTAAATTTAAAGCAGTTCGGGTTCTTAGCATTTTGATTAAGGAATACTCAACCTGTATTGTCAGATTATTTTGTAAAACATACCTCATTTAAAAATTTTTAAATGTAGTAAGAATGTATGCAAAATGGATACTAATATAATTCAGTATACACTGTCTTTTCCTTTAAGTTCGTGCCATTGGATTATTCTGTACCTGTAGAAATCCCTGTTATGAAATGCAAACCAGACAAGCTTCCATTGTTCAAACGGCAATACGAAAACAGCATATTTATTGGTAAGTTCCCTTTTGACATATTTTACCACACATGAACAAAATGTGCTGTGCACATTTGGAGCATTTACCATAGTGAAAAATTCTTGATAATAGAGATTCAGATAGTTCATTAATTCATAATCTCAAATCATGGCAACATGCATGATAATTAAAGAAGTTCCTTTGGCTTGTCACTTGAATTTGTACTTATTCCTATTATATTAGTAATATTTAACTTTAGAAAAAGTTACACTTTCTTGGCTTTTTTGATTTATTATATAAAAAATAAATAATTTATGGTTTTTCAAATTAAAAACAGAGCCAGGCTTGGGGCCATTATTGGCATTTTTATTTAAAAAAAATCGTGTGTTGGCTACACATGGTGAAAACGATCACGAATTTAAAAATTGATAAAGTCTCATGTCTTTTCTCATACAGCTTATTCTCTGATAGTTGTTTGTTTCCTTTAATAATCCTCGCTGACTTAAGGCAGATTTTTAAGCAAGCTTTGCACCATTTCTCCAAACATTTTATCAGCTTCTTCTTGGTCACTGTAATCTTAGGGAATGATCTATGAAGAACTTTTTAAAAGACTTTGACAATAATGTCACTGGTGACAGCATTTCATGAAATACTGGCCTTCATTTTTTTTAACTTAAAAATGTAGTATAAAAGCTTTTTAAAGAATTAGGAACAAGATATATAATTATTACCCTAAACATTAAAAGAAATCTTGAAGTCAAAGTATTTTTATTTTCTGGTGAATATGACAAGGAACTTATCAAAGCTCTTAATGATGACTGAAGAAACTCTACATATATTCTTTTGACTTGCGTAATAGTGGGTTTTATGATAACTAAGAGATCAAGAAATTATACTTTCATGTAAAATGTAGCTTCATTATAGTCAATAAACGAAATAAGGAAACTAGTATTCCCATTTCTGTATTTTGTATACTGAGCACATGGTATATAGAGAATAAGGAGATCCATGATAGTACTCTTGCTCGTGCTTTCAGATACTCTCTGCATGCTCATTTTATCTGAAATGTTTTTGTTTCAGGTTCAAAAACAGCAGATCCATGCTGTTACGGTCACACTCAGTTTCATCTGTTACCTGACAAACTGAAAAGGGAAAAGCTTTTGAAACAGAACCGTGCTGACCAGATAGAAGTTGTTTTCAGAGCTAATGCTATCGCAAGCCTTTTTGCATGGACTGGAGCACAAGCTATGTATCAAGGTAAAACTAATGTGTAGCTTTGTTGTTCTTTGAAAGTCTCTTTGACATCTTACGAATTATTCAGATTATTTTCTTTGGTTAAGAAATGTAGGCTATGCCAGATGTGGTGGTGCATGTTTGTAATCCAAGCAATTTGGAGGCTGAGGCAGGAGGATCACTGTGAGTTTTAGGCCAGCCTGGGCTATAAAATGAGTTCAAGGCCAGCCTGAACAGCATAGTGAAACCCTGTCTCAAAAAAGCTTTAAAAAACAAAAAAAGGTATGTTTAAAAAAATTTTGTATTGACATAAAAATATAGTTTTAAAATCCACAATTAAATATTTTACACTTGAAATTTACAAGTGGAACTTAGGTGGTTATTTTGATCTTTTACTTTGACTACCTCCTATAAGAGTGTATTTTTTTCCAGTAAATTAAACAAACATTTCAGAAAATGTTAAGTCAATTCTTTGTAGATGATAACAGCTTTCTGAATGTATAAAAGGGAACAATCTGCTGAATTAAATATATAGAACAAATCATGACTGACCTATGTAATGTCTTTAAAACTGTATCTAGAATTTAGATTATGAGATTGTTCATTCAGTAAATATTGAATACTTTTTATATCCCAAGGACAGATGCTGCCCTCCTAGGAGCTTTCATTCTTGTGCGTAAATAAAAGAAATTAGCGTATGCTTTTTTTTTTTTTTCAGCAAATGGTAATCATAAGAAGAAAATAATGTAAGGGATATGATTTACCGCGCTATGGGAGGATATAAGCAAGATGAGATCAAAATGTACTAAAATAGAGTCATTAAGGCGGGATCTTTAAAAAGTGACTTCTGAGCAGAGACCTGAATGTGGTGGAGCAACCTATGTATTGGCAATCTGTAGGAAAACCCTCAAGATAAAAGGCAATAAGAGGTGGTGAGAATAGGCTCAATATTTAAGGAACAAAACTGATAAAGAAGAAGGAGAAGGAGAGGAGGATGGAGAAGTAGGTCGAGGAAGTCAGAAGCTACGTTATGTGGGATTTATATTTATTTCTTTCACTATGGTGAAGTTGAATCCAGTTTGCTTACTAAATAGACCCCTCTCTACCACTGAGCTATAACCTTTGCCCTCAAGTAGGACTTTTAGAATCCACTGTGAGGTGTTCAGATTTTATTGCAGAACTTCCATATACTATGAATTAGATTAATCTTATATAAACATCAAAGAGAAATTTGAATGCAGATTTAGTTACTACTATACTCATTTTTTCCTTTACATATGTGTATGTTTAATATACTCACAGTATGACTTGTAATTCTATAGTAGAAATAAAACTGGAGGTGGAAAGTAGGGTACCCGAATCAAAAATATGAGAGGTAATTTGAGATGTTAGAATGGCGGTGTTTATGAATATAAAGTACTTTCTTTGACAGCTGAATTCGATATTTCAACAGTATTATTCATTGGCTATCTTCATAAAAATGATACAAAATATATGTGAAATAGAATTGCCCTTTGCCCTTGGCGTCACCTTTAAAATATTAAAACCAGGGATCCTGGAAGAAAATATAGTCATATCATTTGAGAAGTAGAAAAGCCAGGTGAGGTGATGGGTGCTTTTAGTCCCAGCATTGGAGAGGACAAGGCAGGAGGATCATGTGGGTTCAAGGCCAGCCTGAAGTAGATAGCATGACCTTCCCTATCAAAAGAAACAAAAAAGAAGAAGAAAATTTGAGTAGTGGAAGTATAAAGTCATCTTTGAACCTCATGACCTAAGACATACTAGGCAAAAGAACAGTTCATAAAATTAATGTTTAGATATGTAAAGGAAGACATTGAATTTATCTAAGAACATGTTAAAATCCATAGGGAGACTTACTTTCAGGTAGATTGTTTTTACCTTGGTGGGATAAACATCCATAATGGTTATTGGGTCGTAGATGCTGCTGGTATGGGGAACACTGGGTATAAGACCATGAGCTATGAGAAAGTTAGTACTAGGTCTAGAGCTTACCGTGCTTCTGAGGTAAAATAAGTTAACGTTAAAAGCTGTTGAAGGCTGATGCTGTTGGAAAATACTTGTTGTGAGTCTGGGGATACTAGAATGTGTGTTGGAATTGTTGCAGAATTTCAGTATAGGGTAAGGATGGAGAAGATAGGCAAACTGAATTCTTCAGGAATTCGGTAAAGTATCTACTTTATAATAGGTATTTGTTACTTTCTAGTATGTTTTATTTTTTGGTAAAATGTGTTCTGTGTGTAAATTTCAGCCTACTTTTCTTCTACAGGATTCTGGAGTGAAGCAGACGTTACTCGACCTTTTGTCTCCCAAGGTGTGATCACAGATGGAAAATATTTTTCCTTTTTCTGCTACCAGTTAAATACTTTGGCACTGACTGCACAAGCTGATCAAAATAACCCTCGTAAAAATGTATGCTGGGGGACGCAAAGTAAGCCTCTTTATGAGACAATTGAGGGTAATAATGTGAAAGGTTTCAATGATGATGTTCTACTTCAGATGGTTCATTTTCTGCTGAATAAACCAAGGGAAGACAGACCACAGGTGTTGGAAAGCTAGGAGGAAATACTTGATCTAAGACTGAGAATATTTAGTTTTCACGAAACGAACAATAAAAAGAACTTTAAAAATGCTGTGTGTACCTGTGAGATATTAAATGCGTTAATTCTTGAGACATGTTTTCTTACATTAACCTGTCATACTTGACTGTGGCAGCACACAGGATGAGAGATTACTCTGAGTCCACGTCCAGTTTTATCTCTAAGATCCTGGAGAACTGCTTTTTCTTTAGCCTGAGACAGTCTCAGGAAAAACAGCACTACTTGAAACTTCAGTGGCTTTTTATTGATAGATCCAGGAACCAAAGATAGAGGATTAAAGACTTCTGTACAGGAATTTGTGCAGGGGATAGCAAGGGCAGAGTGGTGTGCAGTGACTTATATTTCCCTAATCTAAACAAGCTATCAGAGAGGGAGAGTACAGTAGCTGGTGCGACCATAGTGGTATTGTGGTTTATGAACTTGATTCCTTCCAGGATTCTGGAAATGAATTGGAAGAGAATCAAATCAAATTCAGTGGTTAGGTTCAGTGTTGACCTTATGGGGAAATTTGATTCAGTTCTTAGCCAGTTTGGTTTGTGACTAGAACTGTGGAGAGAATTGAGTTTGTGAACCGAGATGCCACTGCATAGCTAAGGATAATCTGTATTGAATCCTGTTTGACTGTTGCCATTGCGAGTCTGCTCTGATCTTTAACCATGCACGCTCCAGGAAGCCTGGGCCATCACTGCAGGGGATCCCTTCATTTCAGCAATTATTTAATCACTCCTCCAGCCAGAGTCTCTTCACACAGTAAGCCATCATTAGACATCTCATTCTGCCCAGTTCATCTCTGAAAGGTTTAATTGTGAATATAGCACATTGATTTAAAAGTTTTATTTACTTATTGTTAACTGGTAAGACTAATTGTGTTTTTTAAATGCGTTTATACTGTATGTGATTTTAAACATAAAGGCAGTAATTCAAATGTTTGAGAATATGTAGATATTTTATTGTAGTTTTTCTTTTTCGTTGTTTTTAATGAATGGTTAACAGTGTCTCAGTGACCTATTCAAACCTCTTCAAAACATGAACAGTATTTTGCACAACAGTAAACCAAAAGGTTTGATCAAATTTGCAATCTTGATTTAAAAAGAAAAATAGAGAATGTATTCATAAGGTAATTTAATGAGAATCTTACATTAGTCAACACCCAGTCATGTTTGATGATAAGACACAGGTGATATACTCATTGAAAATAAGGCTGCCAATTTTGACCTGTATGTGTTTTGTTTGCTAATCCATTGCAAGTGCCTAGAGTCACAGAAGTAGACACTTCGTGTGTGTTTGTTGAATAAATGTAAATTTCCAGTTTGAGATCTGTTATATCTCCTTTATGTACATCTTTTATATCAGTAAAGTTTAGGATATATATATATATATATATATATACACATATATATATAGCCACATATTTCTTATTCATAGATTTCTCATCATAATCTTTTAAATAGCTCTCCAAAGTGGTTTATATTGTATATTTATTTTGTAAAAGGCCAATTTTATTAACTCATTAAGTTGAACAGTGTTTCAGCAAATTCTCAAGAGATGTTTGCATTTATTCTGATTTGAGAGTCTTTTACATTGTTTAGTATCATAGATGGCCATGAATTTCCATGTAGCACAAGCCACTGGACAGTTTCTATCCTTTCTCAGAGTATCTTGCACGGTTGACATGGTTGACTCCTCCTTCATTTTTGAAGCATTGAAATCTTGCATTTCCTTCAGTGAAACACTTGATTTTCTTATCTCATTGACTGACTTTTCATATTTCTCTTTGCTATTCTTCTGCTAACCTCTCTTCAAATACCAGTGTACCTTTGGCTTCTAGGCTGCAGATTACTTTATCCACACTGTCCTAGATGACATGGTCAAAGCCCAGGTATATATTTAAATGTAAGAGTATTCAAAGTTAAAATTAGATTTCATTTTTTTTTTTTTTTTTTTTGCCTCAAATCTGAACTATAATTATTCTACTCTAACTGGAAAAGTTTGAATGATTAAAATTATGGTCAATTTTTCCCTCTAATTTTTCAGATTTCCTAGAAAATTTTCATAAACAAAAAGCTATCTTTCTTAAATAAACTAATATAGAGCCATCAAATTCAACTCCATCAAACAACTTGACTGAAATTAATTTTATTTGAAAAGAAATTTTTCAGTTATACTTATTCTGGAAACTTCACATAAATTTCATCAGACATACAGAGTATAACTAAAATATGAATATTTAAATTGAAAAAATTATTACAGTAAAGGACACTGCTGGTAATCTCCCTCAAATTACTTTCCTTACTTCATACACAGTATTCTGTCTGTTAATCTTGCTACTTTCTGAAGCAGTTCTAGAATTTGTGAGGTATGATTGAAAACAATGCATTGTCCTACCTTGAGTTATCTAACAGAAAGACACATTGTTAAAAATATGGTGTGTCCCCATCTACCTTTTCACTGGGCCTGGCACCTTGTGACTTCTGGCCCTCTCAAAAGTCAAAATGGCCACAAAAGAGACTCATTTTAAATGGATTCACAACATTCAAAACAGCCATGGCAGTACAGTTAAAGACTCATGAAAGATTTTCAGAACTGCTTCAGAAAGTGACAAGAAAGATGGAACATGTATTTCAAATCAAGGGGATCTATTTTGAGGGAGATTAATGACAATGTGTTTTTTTTTTTTTTTTTTTTTTTGGTATCAGGAATGGAACTCACAACCTTGCGCTTGCCAGGCAGGCTCTTCTGCCGCTGAGCTAAATCCTTGGCCCCACTGTAAACTTCTTAAAAAATTAAACATTGTATTTTTGGATCACCCTCATATATTTTACCTTAGTGCCTGCAAACAAAAAACACTAGATGTGAAGTACTTAGATTTTTTTAAGAGGTCTTTTACTGTGCTCTAAATGCTTATTTCCCCCCAAAATTCATGGTATTGAAATAGTGTCCTTTTTAAAAGGTGGAAGCTGTTACAATTTAGAATTTTAAAACAAAATTAAAAAACTCAAAAGCCTCACGTGTTTAGAAAGTGATTGGATCATGGGGTGCTACATTCATGGGTTTCATCCGTTGATCGTTCAGCAGCTGAATTTGCTGTTAGCAGTGGAAGGTTGGAGGTAGCTCCCTGGCATGTGACCCGGAAAGTTGTATTCCTTTTCTCTGGTTCCTCCTGTCTCTGCTTCCTGGTCGTTGTGGGATGAGCAGCCGTTCTCTGCCATTTAGTTTCTCCATTGGGGCCAACTGACTTTGGACTGAACACCCTGGAAGCTGTGAACCAAATGAACCTGTTATTTAAGTTTCAGGTGTCGGGTATTTTTCCCCACTGATGGGAGAGATGCAGGGACTCTTGGAAGATATTTGCAAGTGGCTTTGCTCTCAGAAATGGAGCAGCATCCTTATAAACCCAAGGGAGTTTGTTCACAACTTTTACCACATGACTCCAGCAAGGAATAATCTGTGAACAGGAGAGCAGACCAGACCCCTCCTTCATGCTGAAACCATGAGAAAGAAATCTCTGCTGATAAGCTGCCCATTTTATGATAGTTAGGTATTGTAGCCTAAATAGACTAAGGTGAGTAGTAAGGTTTATTACACTATCTTCTGTATATTCTAGCCTGTCTTGCATAATGCTTAAATAAAAGGTAAGGTTAATTTACATAAAATTATTAAGCTTGATAATTTTTAAAACTCATAATTTACTGTTACAGAATTTGGCATTATAGTGTCAAACAGAGACAACAGGAAAGAAATGAGCAAAGCACAAGACAATGAGAAAACAGTGCAGCAGAGAATCTAGAATGAATTTACACCAGTGATACAGCAGTGATAGTGATCAACAGTTGATCACACAGGTTGAATTTCTAAAGGTGTAAAAGCTAATTTGTTCAATTTTATAAAACATGAATAATAAAAATTAGAGAAGAATAAAAGATTCAGGAATCAGACATCTTGGTAAATTAATAAGTGGCAGACACCAGCTGTATACTTATACGTTAAATATAGCTGTAGTGAAACAATAGCTTATTCAGAAGTCAAGCTTAATGTGTCATTTTGTCTTGAGTTTTTACATTTTTAAAAGAAAGTTATGGTTATAAGCTGATTTCTTTTTATAATTATAAAATTGAACTGATACTGGATTTAAAATGCAAGTAATATTTTCTACAAATGAATCAAATTGATGGGAAATGATAATAAATACAAAGAGGGTATCATTTACTTTTTATTTTTTTTATTTTTTTTTAATTAAGAGGAAAAAGAGAAAAACACAAAACAAAACAAAGCAGTGTAAGGTTACACATAATACAGAACTACAAAAAAAAACCATAACAGTAAGAAATCACCTGTTAATAGATTACATATTTATCATCTTGAAAATAGTTGCTCAAATCACAGTATCAAAGAATACAAAGTAGACATTCAAACAGAGAGACTGCAAACAGCTGTGTTCAATGATCCAAAAACATTAATATAGTCAGCTATTTAACACACCTAAACACACCTGCTGTTACATCCGTTAGAGCTCTTTTTTTTTTTTTCTTCCCTCTCTTTTTTACAACAAAATTTACACATTTTGGATTTTATTACTCCTTAGTTCTTATTACTTTTTTTGGGGGGGAGAGAATAAAGTCAAATATGGCAAAACAAAGCTGTCAGTCAAAACCAAGGATAGACATAGCACATGATGTAGAACAGAGTACAAGGTTATTAACAATGGTTATCAACATTGTCTCTTGTTTCCTTAAAAGGAATTGTCTATCTCATTAGATATTATAAAGTTGGACAAAACAGTGGAGAACAAGACCAATAAAACTTAGGCATTGTGAACATTACAGGACTTCCAAAGGAGACAATAGTCAAACCAGAATGGGCATCTTTGTGAATCTTATTGCCTTCAAATTAGTTGCCTATACCCTCAGACCTGCTACTATCGCACAGAATGGAACAGAGTCTAATCAGTCAAAACAAGATCTTGGGAGTATCACAGGACTTCAAAACAAGTCAATAGGAGATCGAAAAGAGTTACTATTATATATCCTAAT